TCAATTATGAATCAAATATTTGTGGTACTGAACTGTTGTATAGGTTATCTGACCTGTGTTTGGTGACCGTTCATATAAATGTATCATCGTAATTCAATTATCCGCTTATTTGCAGTGTTTAGAGATTCAAGTCGATAAAGGGTTGTCAAATAAGAACGAATAATGTGACATTATTCTCATTCTGCAGAAACTAGGAGTATGCACTCCTCAGGTACGCACTGGAGGTATCAGCAACTGCAATTGCTTGCAGCGAGTTGAGTGTAGAAATAAGGGCCTCAATAGAGAAATATTAAAGAGGTTGCAATTTGTTGCAGCCCCCCAATTAAAGAAGTCGGTGGGTAGCTGCGGCAATAATTTTAAAAAGAGTTTTCTGTTCCAATTCCTTTTCCAGTTCTCCAAATTTTATGATTCTAGTATTGCTTAATACAATCAAAATACTAAAAAGAAAATACAAAGAAATCAGCGTAATGCCTTGTGCGATGATAGATAGTTCTGTAAACAGGAAAAAATGCGCTAAAATTTATTTTTATACATTTCTGTGCAATTATTAGCGAAATTTTGCAAAAATTTTTGAGGGTGAAAGACCTTAAAGTTTTTTAAATCTACGTTTTTAGGAATCTTGTTCTGTCAGAGTTTTAAGTGGTGGCTGTAAATAAATGCTCACATAAAAAAAGTAGACTTTTAAATTCTCTTAGAGAAATCACCTTTACCTTAGCTTGTAAAGCCAAAAGGAAGATAAACTCAATATATAGAAAGGTTAAAACTAAGGACTTCGTATTTTTTAAGTCTTATACTTGTTATCTTTCTACTCTCTTATTAATTGCTGTTTCAAAGTATATTGCTCAAGCAGCTCTATGTTGGAATGTCTAAATGGGTTGGGTTAACGCCAACTATTCTTACAGATTTGCATTTACTTAACACTTCGTATCTGGTTATCATTTATGCGTGTTATAAGAAAAACTTACTTTGTTGTGCCTTGACATTTGTGCCCCTTACCGTAATAAAAGCCCTTCATTTGTCACTTAAAAATTAATTTATGGGATCGCTGAAATCAGAAAAAATTTTTTACGATTTGAGGACCGTACTTACACAAAAAAAGTTAGCGGCCTTCACGTATCTCATTACAGGACCAAAGTTACGAAAGCATTTCTATTGCACTACGAAATAAAAATAGTCTAGAATTTTACCAAGTTGATACTCCTGCTTCTATAAATATATTCATGTTTCCGCTTGGTAATTCAAATATAGAGCAATTCATTTTCAAATTTACAAAACAGCAGAATATTGTTCCTGACACTTTTTTAGTTTTCTGGCTGACTTAATTCGCCAATTTCACTTTCGTGTTGAGAAGAATTTTTCATACAATACTGACAAATAATTTGACAAATAATTAAGAAAATATCATCCATATGATGCTAAAATACTTATATAGCAACAGGTAAGGCGTAGTATCAGTCTCACAAACCTCATCATCCTTTTCTGGATCCTTTGAGTGTAATTTCTTCAAAATTTTCCCACACTTTCTGCCACACTGATACTGTAAAGATCTGCAAAAAAACCTTACTCGTTTGGCATACCATTGAAAAAAATTATTTCTAGTTTTCTGCACTGGCTATTTTTCATAAAAATAAAGGATCTACTGCGGAGCTAGAACAGATGGACGTTTGGACTTGACATGAAATTTAAAGAGACGAGAGAGATTTCCTAAATATTAGTGTCTCATGTCATTCGTTGACAGTTTTCCCAGTAAAAATTACCTCCTTCATCCCACCATTGCGTGGAGAACACGTATGATCCGTTACATCGTGTACGGCCATTTTCTGCAAAATTAACCGTTCTAGAAAACCACTAAAAGTCCTGCCGTTGTTTACGCTTTATTTTTTTTTATTCAACTTATTCTTGGCAGCAGTGCTAACGTACTGTCGACAAGAAACTGCTGGAAAGTTGTCGTTTTATTCCTGATGCAAGTGCTAGAACATCATAAATTCTGCCTTACTTTATCCCAGCATTTTGCTGATAAGAAAAAAAGAAAATAGCTGGTAGATTACATTTGTTTCACATGTCGACTCTTGAGCCAGTATTTCGATGACAGTATTTGTTCCGGCCACAATCTGCTCTTTGGCGCTAAGGACTTTCAATTTGACCATATAAAAAATACCGTCCCGTCTTGCATTTATATGTGCCATTGCTCTACTTGCCATTGCCTAAATGAAGTCAATAATGGAATCTTTTTTTTCAAAGCAACCAGTTTCGAAAGATTGAAAAATGCTCTACGACTGAAGTGAAAGTTCTAATTTGGTGAATACCTGCACTTTTGCGTCATCGACATTTATATCCCGAAAGCCGCCCACCAGCTGTTCTGCCATATTATCGACAGTATACGTAAAGAGGAGTACAACGGCTACTGAAAGAGTGTTCATTACCTAAAAACCAATTGGTTGCAATGAATTTTCAACATAAATAAAGAAACCACCAAGTTT